GTGGGACAGTGCCATTCGAGGGGGGGGATGGGCCCCCCTCGGCAGCACATACAAGCGATTGGACGGCTATAGAGCCACCGATCGCTTGTATGTAAAACAGCCGGTAACGGCTGTTTGTAACGGTCGGTGTTTTTCTGCCCGTGCGAGCAGGAAAAAAAAGCCGTTTATCTACGGCAAACCGCCAATGGGAGTTTGCCATCCGTCCGTTATTTCACAACTGGCGGACGGCAAGCAGTTAATGGGGTCTGAATGCGCCCCAAACGCAGCAAGAAAGCGCCTGTGGCAAATTTTGCGATGTGAGTAACACATTTATTGAAATCCAGGTTTGTGGTGCACGTTATAATAGAATTATATTATAGTAGAATCTTGTCCTGCATCAAGAAGGGAATGTTTTGCAGGGATAGGTCTATAATTTTGCCACTTTACACATCAATGGTTCGGCCCCACCTGGAGTATGCGGTGCAGTTTAGGGCACCGGTCCACAGAAGGGATGTCCTTGAACTGGAGAAAGTCCAGCGGAGGGCGACCAAACTCATAAAGGGGATGGAGGACCAGAGCTATGAGACAAGGCTACTAAATGTAAACATGTTTACGTTGGAAGTTGGGAGATTAAGGGGGGACATGATTTTCATGTCCAAAATGTTCCGTAGTCATAGCGGCATTAGCAACAAACACTTTGAGATTAATTCCGTAACAAAGACTAGAGGACACCACCTAAAACTGGTAGAAAAAAAAATTCGAACACAAGGGGCGAAGGGGGTTCTTCTCAGTTTGCGCGGTTAGGGTCTGGAACTTGCTGCCTCAAGCGGTAATTTACGCAATTAATATGGAATCATTCAAGAAGCTTTTGGACGACTTCCTGAGAGACCGAAATGTACAAGGGTACAGGTACTCTTAAGAATGAGAACACTCATGGACACACACACACACAAACACACACACACACACCTTATGTCTTTATTCAACCTCAAATACTATGTAACTATAATGCATGCCAATGCGGAGGAAAAAAAACATGCGTCTTCCTGGCCGCATTAGAAATCAATGGCAACGCAAGCGCGTTTTGCTGCGTTTCAGTTAACGTACGCCAGAGCGCTTGTTTTTGTGTACGTTTGCCAAGCATTCACGGAAGGTGCTGGTGTGAATGCGTCCTAAACCTGGACTTGGCTCAGCAACCGCGCCGTAGTCATGGAAACAATCAATTGTGCTGCAGCGCTCATGTGAAAAGAAGGATAGGGTGTGACAGAGAGATGAGCTCATCAGTCTGCTGCTTCTCCTTTCACTGTCCAGTCATAGACTGGGGGCGGGATAAGACTGATAAGTATGATTGAACGGTAGTAGAGAAATATCAGGTCTCTTACCCTGCCAGGACAGGGCTGTGCTTAGTGTTTGGGTTAAAGAGAACCTGTCAGATCAGCTGGTAGCTGGTTCAGATGAGGCCCCTATTCCAATGGTTGAAGGTCTTTGTACACAAATATATCCTTAAATATCACTCAGCATTGCCGTGTTATGATCCTCACAATATTATTCTCTATCCTAGGTGATGAAGCTTCCTCAGTGCTCACGTCTGCGTTTTATCTCACCCATCCTTAAACCTAGGACTAGACACATGCCCATTCCATCCTCCGAGGTGGTATAACCCATCATGGCGGATATGCTTTTAAACTTGCACTTGGAGGGCGGACAGTCCAGCAAGCACGCCGAGCACGGGAACAGCAAGCATCGCCGTTTTATCAAAAGGAGGAAGTTTTTGGAGAAGAAGGGCTTCCTGAAGCAGAAGCAGTTGCCCCAAAAGACCCACAACATGGAAAAGCGAGCGGATTCCTGGGGCCACGGCAGACATAACGGGCAGCAGCGGACTGAGAAACCACACAGCAACTTGTTCTGTTCCGACCAGCAGCTCTGCCCGTCCAGGACGGTCACGTCCCAGTCCGGCACTCTGAGCGTCAGTATTGGCACCGGTGCTACTCATTCTCGTGCCGCAACGTTTACACCACCGGGTGTGCCTCCCAGGGGCCACTGTTCTTCCAAGCCTAACAGCGATGGCACCGATCACCCGCCGCCTAAACCTTCTCTTCACCAGCAGAACATCGGCCTCCTGAGTGAGTATGAAAGCGGAATCCCTTCGGCCTCTTCAGCTCCCAGCTACAAAGTGGTGGCCATTGACTGTGAGATGGTGGGCACAGGCCCGAAAGGAAGCATCAGTGCCTTGGCCCGGTGCAGCATCGTCAGTTACCATGGGGACGTGGTGTATGATAGGTACATCAGACCGACCAACCCCATCACAGATTACAGGACGAAATGGAGTGGAATAAGGAGGGAACATTTGGTCAACGCCATTCCGTTCACCACGGCGCAGAAAGAGGTGAGAAGCCACTGATTACCGAGGAGGGGGAGAAGCTTCATTAAAAGGGATTATGTGAATACGATTGTCTTAGGGCTCATCCAGACGGGGCGTGCACGTCCGTACAGCGTGCACGCTCATAAAAAGACCCGGCCCCGGAATGTACGGGCGCTGCATGTAATTGCGCACAGCAGCCTGTTCTTCCCTATGGGAGGACGCGGCTGGATGCAATTACATGCGGTCATCACACACCCGAACCTGCACATCCGTGTGGATCCAGGCGCCCGCACTTGGACGCACACTGTCTGCGGATGTGCAGCTTCAGGTGTGCGTATGAGCGAGTGTAATTGCATGCCGTTGCGTCCTCCCATAGGGAAGAACAGGCTGCTGTGTGCAATTACATGCAGCGCCCGTCCATTCCCGGATTGGGTCATGTTACGGCCATGCACGCTGAAAGGACATGTACTCCCGTCTGTATGGGTCCTTTAAGTGAACCTGTCCACGCAGGACAAAGCAACAGGTTCACTTTTGTATCCCCAACTCCAGTAGCACATTCTTCAAGGAGAACTATGGGGTCAGGGCTTTTCCCCATAGTTCTCCTTAGGGTAACGGGAGGACACAAACTAGCGTCCTCCCGTTACCCTAAGCTCAGTATATAGGGAGCTACAGCTTGCGGTATACTGAGACTCCGCAGCTGAAGCGGATCCCGATAATTATGTCTGGATCCGCCCAGCTGCGTGAGTGACAGCTGGCTCTAGCTAGAGGCAGAGCCAGCTGTACCTGCCCCCTCCCCCGTCCGTTCCGCCAGTCAGCGCTGGAGGATCGGGGAGGGGGAATCCAGCCACTCCCCTGTCACGGCAGAGAGCCGTGACAGGATTGAGAGGTGAGCGAACGCCGGCATGCGTTCTCTCACCTCCCCATCTACTGAGCCGACCTGTTACAGTCTCATTGTCACAGGTCGGCTAGAACTATGAGGTGAGTGAAAAGCACTCCACCGCATAGTTCTCCTTTAAAGGACAACTGTACTTTTTTTATTTACATCCGCCCCCCCCAAACCCTGAGTGCTCCCCACCCTCCGAGCCACACAGTTGTGCTACCAAAAATGTCCCCTCCATAGTGTGCATGTGTGCCACAGTCTCATTCAATCTCATGGGAAATTGTGGTCTGGCTGCCCCTGGCCCTTCCCTTTCATTCATTGGATTTCAGTTCTTTCACTCAGATGCTCAGCGTCGCATGTTTAGGAGTGCCCACCCCTCCAGACTGACGCCCACCCTTCAAAGCATGTTGACATTTGCATGACTCCTCCTAAGTGCCGGCCCACTGCTTACATCAGGGCTGAGGGCTCTTGAGAGGAGTTCTGAGTCCGGGTGCTGCTGTGTTTTCAGGACGCTATTTATATGTGATGAGCAATATCCACATTATCCGGCATTCAAGCAACCAGAACTCTCAAGCAACCAGAAAAATAATATAATATGTCCTCATTTTTTTTGCCAGTTGCTTGATAGTCATGTGCACACTAAAAAAAAGATTGTTGGCAACTACATTTATTTGTTTGCTAAAGAAATTCTCTGTTTACATCTCGCTTTGGCCGACGGCTAGATTCCTCAGCTGGCCGGTGATTGTACACAACGCGCAGTGGGCGTGTGCAATAGCACCTATCGGCTATGGCAATTTGAAATAGCCAATAGCAGAATCATAGTTGCTTGAGAGTTAATATTAACTCTCAAGCAACCAGAAACTACAGTTATCTGGCATCTACCAATCCCCATGGGTACCGGATAACTGGGAGTTTATGCTGTATATGGGAAAACCAAATCCTGCAAAAACATTTTCATATGAAGCTGCTTCATCTATCAGGACCAAGGGGGCTCTTTGCAAATTTTGTTAATGACCAGTTTCTCTCTAATAACCAGTTCGCTGCCTTCTTCTGTTATTCCCATTGCTGACCTTTCCTTCCAAAAGTAATCGTCTTAGACTTAGAATGTCATATTTAGGTCGGTTCAGTCTCTTGCCAAGTGTTTGAGAACCAATCAGCACATTCTAGGGGTCAGCAGAGACATTTTAAAGCTAAACTGCGGGATTTTTTAATAAAAATCTACCCTTGCAATGCCCCTCCCCCGTGAACTGCAAGGGTTACATGGGGTAGGTGAATAACATGTCATTTTACCATATTCCTCGCTCTCTCCGGGCAGCCGGTGCTTCTCTGCTCTCTGGGCTGTGGATGGGCCATCGCTGTACAATGCTGGACTGCTGGTCCTGCATTGTACGTGATGGCACCGCTGGATGACACCCCAGAAAGATGGGGCTTTGGGGGACTGTTGGCACCTTGTGATGGAAGCCTGCCAAAGCGAGGAATAAGGAAAATATTAGGGATGCAACGATACCGTTTTTTCAGTATCGAGTACCAATATATTTTTTTCGGTAGTCAGCGATACCGGAAGTCCCATCAAGGAAGCCAGGCAGCTTGTAATTACTCACCACATGGCTTCCTGATTGGCCGGGATGCCGTCTCCATGCTCCCTCGTCACAAGGTAATGAGGGAGCACGGAGCCAGCTTTCTGGCCAAAATTCCCCTCACAGCTTCCTGATTGGCCATGGAGCCGGCTTCCCGGCCAATCAGGACCCTTAGGGTTAGTCATTATCTACCCCCACCTTCTTGATTGGGAAGGAAGCCAGCTGCATGCTCCCTGGTGACTGATATCGGTATCGGTGCGTCCCTAGTAAATATTACGGATTCTTCCTTATTTTGCCCTTCCAGTACAGGGAGGCCACACTTCAAAGGTATTTTTTTTTTTCTTTCTGCTTTTGACCTCAATAGAAAAGCTTAAAAAAGGTGTCGGATTTAGTCACATCGTCCTCCCGGCCCGGAGCTCTTTATTTATTTTTATGTAGAAAGATGTAAACGAAAACTCTGTTGTGTTCTTCCGCAGATCTTAAAGATCCTTCGTGGAAAGATCGTGATTGGCCACGCCATCCAGAATGACTACAAGGCCTTAGAATACTTCCACCCCAAGGAGATGACCCGAGACACGTCAAAAATCCCGATGCTGAACCGCAGGGCGGGATTCCCGGAGAAGGAGGCGGCGTCACTGAAACGTCTGGCCAAACAGCTTCTCTGGAAAGACATCCAGGTCATTGTTTTACCCGCTTTCTTCATGTGCCGTACCAGGACTCCCGGTCCTTGGGATTTGTCAAAACATTCTCTATATATATATTCCCTGTTCCTAAGAGCTTATAGTTAAGTGGACCGTACTGGTCAGCAGTCATCCAACCAGACAGGATTGCCAACTCATTTCTTTAAAGGAGAACTATGAGATGAGTGATTTCCACTCACCTCATAGTTCTAGCCGACCTGTGACAATGAGACTGTCACAGGTCGGCTCAGTAGATCGGCAGGTGAGGGAACATATACCGTGTTCGCTCGCCTCTCGATCCTGTCACGGCTCTCTGCCATGACAGGGGGAGGGGCTGGATTCCCCTCTCCCCGTTCCGATCTGCCAGCGCTGACTGGCGGGAATGGACGGGGGAGGTGGCGGGTACAGCTGGCTTTGCCTCTAGATAGGCAGAGCCAGCTGTCACTCACGCAGCTGGGCGGATCCCGTCATCTACGTCGGGATCCGCTCCGGCTGCGGCGTCTCAGTATACCGCGAGCTGTAGCTCGCGGTATACTGAGCTTAGGGTAACGGGAGGACGCTAGTTTGTGTCCTCCCGTTACACTAAGGAGAACTATGGGGAAAAACACTGACCCCATAGTTCTCCTTTAAGTGAACCTGACTTGGCTTAAAGCTGAACTCCAGGATTCCCCCATCTGCTGCCCCCTCCCACCGCCAGAGGCAGCTGTGCTGCTCCTCCCCAAGACATACAGGAAGAAGATCGTAAATTGCGTGATCTATAGAGCCGAGTGCATTTCACTCTACCCATAGTTTCTTTCCTTTAATGAAAGAAAAAATGTGCATGCATTCATTTTGTGCATTTAAAGGAGAACTATGAGGTCAGTGATTTTCACTCAGCCTCATAGTTAGAGCCGACGTGTGACAATGAAACTGTCACAGTTCGGCTCAGTAGATCGTGAAGTGAGTAAACACATACCGTCAAAATCGATTAGTTAGCCGATTATTGAGTTCGATTAATCGGATAAAAAATAAGATACATTTTAAAAAATGGCTCCAGTGATGGACTACTAGTTTGTATTGAGATTTGTAGTCCATCACAGGAGCAAGCTTTGGAGCGGTGGAAGTAAATAAGAAAAGAAAAAGTGTGGCGTGCAACCGCGTCCCTGTGCCAATCGTGGATGTGGGAGGGCGGTGAGCATGAGGTGTGGAGCGTGGATGCGGGCGGGTCTGGCAGCGGCAAGCGTGAGGTGCGGAGGAGGTGCGGCGCGTCAACAGGGCCAACTAACCAGAAGCCGATTAATCGATGATTGAAAAAGTTGACAACTTTTTCAATAATTGATTATGTCGATTAGTTGTCGCAGCCCTAGCTCGCTCACTTCTCGATCATGTCCCTGCAGAGAGCCGTGACTGTCACTCATAGGCCTGGTGATCAATTCTGCCGTGTCCTTTTTTTCAAATAAACTTTACAGCATGGCACATGAAGTGACATGGCTGAGAAATGAGAACAATTGGCAACCAGCTGCAGAGTTTTTTGGGGTAACTTGGCACTTCGCATGTGCACATTATCTGAGTGAGGTTAGCATGGTTAGATACCGTCAGGTAATGCTGGAAGTGGTCACACCACATGCAGATATCAGTCAATACATTCAATAACGTATCTGCCTTACGTGGCAAATGTGTTAATTCTCTTCTTCCTTTTCCCTTTTACAGACGGGCAGAGGCGGTCACTCTTCCGTTGAGGACGCCAAGACGACGATGGAGTTATACCGCATTGTGGAAGTGGAGTATGAGCGCGAGCTGGCGTCTGGCCAAGCCCATTTATGAACTTTCTGGGGGTTTTTACATTTTTACAACTATGGGAACGTACCAACCATTCGCTTTATACCACTTCCGAAAAATAAAAGTCGAGGCCTGGACTCCAAAGCTCGTAGTGATTTTATTTGTATTTTTTTTATGGCAAAATCCAGTTTTCCAAAAATTTTCCAATTTTTGACAAAGCAAAACAATAAAAGTACAGTAAAGAAACTAGCTGAAAAAATACGCTCAGGTGTGAACCCAGCCTAATTGTCACACTAAGCGACAGCGACATACTTTGAACATCACTGTCATGAGGGGGTAAAAAAAATGACCAGTGCTGGTGATCTCTATCTTCCCCCCATGTATACACACATCTTCCATCCCAGCACCGATCTGATACAGCACAGTGCTCACCATTCCAGCCATGATGTGTGTGCAGGACAGACCGAAGGACCTGCAGCGCGCCAGACAATCCAAGAGCCGAACCGAGGGTGCAGCAGCCAATCGAAGAGCAGCTCAAGACAGGCCCTGCCCAGCCGCCCCTGTCATACTTTCAGGCTTGCTGTGTTAAAGTGGCAGCGGCAGGGACTGGTGGGCCCGGGCAGGAAACATACTGCGTGCAGGCTGGAAAACGGTGTGCCCATTTTTTTGCACTGACTCGCAGTAAAGTCTGTGACAGTGACAGCTGTATGTCCCGGCCGCTATGCGGGGATGTACAGATGTACTCCTGTCACTACTACCGCGGGTGGGAGCGGCGCTATCTGGGGGGGCAATTGCCCCGTTGCCCCCCCCTGGATCCGCCACTGCGTCACGAAGGGGTTAATGTGATCCCACAACCAATAATCCCCATTAATTCACAATATCGACCTTCCCATTTAACCTTAGTTCCCTCTTTCTCCTTCCTTTCTCTCCCTCCCTCTCTCCCTCCCTCTCTCCCCCTCCTCTTAGATTCTTCTTTTTTCATTTTTTCAAAACAATTAAATATATAACATACAAGACAACAACAACAAAAACCACGCACACACACGACCCTTCAACAATGCTCCCTATTTTCTCACCTCTCGGAATATCGGCCGATTTTCGCATGCGATCGCGTTTTCGTCCGACATTCGTAAGGTCGATGGGCAGCGTACAGCCGCAAATACTATACAGTCGATCGACTTTTGACTAAACCAGCAGGTTAGAAAGCTTTGGACGATCGTACGATTTTCGCAAGGTCGGTGGCGTTTCCGTACGTCAAAAATTTGTACGATTTACACCGCTCATGCGCAAACGAAAACACCTGCGGTCGATTACCGCAATTCGTCCGGGGGCTTTTTATTACCGCTGATCCAACCTTGCGATAATCGGGGGCAGGATGGGGCCGCCGTACGAAAATCGTACGAGGGTTCGATCATCGGACGAAAAGTGCCGTCCGATCATTGCAAGGTGTACGGGCAGCCTAAGGGCCCATTCACACCAGATGCAGTCCTTTGCGTTTTTGAGCTGCATCAAAAACGCAGCACAATGATTTCCAATGGATTCTGTTGTTCTGTTCACACCAGAAAAAGTACTGCTTGCACTATTTTAGCTGCATCAGAACGTGACGGAACGCATCAAAACGCAACACAGCTAAAAAATAAAAACCCACAGATTTAGTAATGTCATCTTCTGGGGACTTCCTGTGAGTTGGTAGAGGAGATTAGGAATGGAACAGCTCTGGAAACATGGCAGACATGGATTCTAATGTAATAATCAAATATCTCTGACCGTCAGCAAGGGGTGCACCCAATAACAATGTTATTATTATATTATAATAACCTCCTACGTTGGGTGAGAGTGGCTATAGCCAACACTAACACCATGCCTTCAAACAAAGGAAGCATGTCTGAGCTAGAAAATGAAGGAGGAAAGTGCTGTGACAAGAAGAAGGAACTGACATATGGTCTGATTTGCATTTTGAGGGGGGGGACTGCATCGGAATGCATCAAAAACGCGGCAAATCGCATCGCAATGGCTAAAACGCATGCATTTTCAATGCAGCCTTGGCGTGAATGAGGCCTAAGGGTTAGTTCACACCAAAAACTGCATCACAACTGAGTGCGTCTGCGCAGTTGCATTGCGATCCTTTTTGATGCGTTTTTCCCCCCCTGCATGTCCCTGGATGATGCCACAATCAATTGTGTTTTTTTTGTATGCGTTTCGGTGCGTTTGATGTGTTTGCTATGCGTTTGCACTGCATTTGATGCAGTTAGATGCAGGTAAAATAGGACAAGCGGTACTTTTTCTGACTGCATCTGAACGGACTGCAATGAATTAAGCACAAGAAAGCTCATAGGAAAGCATTGTGATGTATTTTGACTGCAGCAATCAAAATAAACGGACTGCATCACAACTGCATATGGTGTGAACTGGCCTTAAGCCTCCCATTCTCCTCTTTTTTACTAGGTAATGAGGATTACACCATAGGTGGGGCCAAACCCGGTACTGACAACAAGTGGTCCCATATCCTCTTTAATTTCTAAAGGGTACCCTCTATGTATGAAAAGCAATTTCTCTTTTGATAGATCTGGGAGACGTCCATTTAAAAGCAATGAACTTTCGTGCTATAAACCAGAGTCTTATAATGATGTTCATGGACCTTAGGATCTGTTGATCTTCTTCCACATAGTTTAGGGTCCAAGAGCAACTTGAAGGAGAACTATGGGGTCAGGGCTTTTCCCCATAGTTCTCCTTAGGGTAACTGGAGGACACAAACTAGCGTCCTCCCGTCACCCTAAGCTCAGTATACCGCGAGCTGCTCCTTGCGGTATACTGAGACGCCGCAGCTGAAGCAGATCCCGACAATTATGTCTGGATCCGCCCAGCTGCGTGACTGACAGCTGGCTCTGCCTATCTAGAGGCAGAGCCAGCTGTACCTGTCCGTTCCGCCAGTCAGTCGGCGGCGGGGACGATCGCAGCTGACAGGTAAGTGTGGGGGAGACTGGGGGGGACTGGGGTAGAATAAAGGTACTGGGCTGTTTTTACCCTAATGCAGTGAATGCATTAAGGTAAAAAAACGCCCAGATCTTAATACTACTTTAAGGCACTTGAATGCATTTTTAAGAATTTACTCCTGAATTTAGTGTCATTTTAAATGTGACAAAACAATACTAGGCTGAAGTGAAGAAATACTGAACTAGAGAAGTCATTGGCACCAGACCTGACGAGCAGGTGACTTATTTTATTCACGCCAAAGTTTATTGGTGCAAATGTAACTGCGGACAAAGTCTAACTGGCAATGTTATTTCATAACACCAGATTTACACAGCCGGTTCTGTGATTCATTAAATGCAGAGCAATTACCATGAATGGCCATTAGAATCCTAGAATTCTGGTCAATACAAAATCTGTCATGATTGGCAATTTGGCAGCAAACAGACACATGCTGTGGGGTCCCCTTTCTTTCCGCCATTATTGGGGTCAGGTTGCACAACAACGTTGGATCATGTTGGTCGGAGAAGTTCATTATTGTACAACTTGTTGGAATATTTCCAAGCAAGCTGGGGCAAGTATCCATGGAGAAGGGTGAAGAATGAACGTATTGGGTACTGGCCACTAAGGATGGGCTTGGGCGTGTTCGCACCTCCACGTGCCAAGCCTGCCAGGAAGTTGACAGCGCCAATCACAAGTACTGAGACATTTTCCCGGTCCGCAGCTGCAGAGATCGGGAAATGTCTCAGTGCCTGTGATTGGCGCTGTCAGCTGCCTGACGGGGAGCTGCGAACACGCCCGAGCCCATCCTTACTGGCCACTGTCAGTGCCAGGTTGTAACCAGAGTGAGGTTTGTGCACTGCAATGGCTTTGCTCTTTGCCCTTTAATCTGCCCATCAATGGTCCGTAATGATTGTAAAGCAAAGGTCTCTTCCTGTTGAGCTGCGAAGGCAGCCTACCATCTAGAGGTGCCCATACACTGCACGATTATCGTACGATAATCGTATGCGATCGGTTTTTCGTACGATAATCGAGCAGTGTGAACGGAGACGTGCGACCGTTTCTACTGTACGGTCGCACGTCTTCTGTCGAACCAGCATGTTCAAAAACCAGCCGGGAATCGTACGATTCTCGGCTGGTTAGAACGGTGCTCGGAAGACAAATGCCGAACGGGCCGGTGTGCGCACGCGCACACTGCCCGTTCAGCATTGCGGTCATCGGAAGCCCGCCCCTCAGGGGGGCGGGCTTGCGATGATCGAGAGTGCGATCTGCCTGTCCAAGATAGGCAGATCCTACGTTTTTTTAATCCCTGTACAACCATCGCAAGACTAAAGTCTTGCGATGGTTGTAGAGTGTATGGCCACCTTAGGACCTCTTTTTTTGGACATGTACATAGGGCAATGCTGTTACACAGACACAACCAGATGCAGCAATGTGCACACCTTGTTCACATGTGTTTCAGGCTTAATCATTAACAGAATCTGCAGAAATCTGTAGCAGTGGAGGAGGATAAGCTCAGTGAAGACCTTTCACAGCAAGCCACCCGGAACGGAGATAAAGGGAAGAGTACTGCCCAAAGAACAGGTAAAGACGATGAGGATTCTCCATGTACAGCATGATGGGGTGATATCTAAAGCCAAAAATCTTCTCGGCATGTCCTGGCGGCCATTGTCTTTTGTGGGACTAAATCTGAGGGGAAATAGAAAATTTGGGGTTAACACCAGGACAGGAACAAATGGGAAATCTGCCAATAGTGCCAACGGTTGCGATGATTTATCTTGTTTCATGCTGGGCACACACCTTACAAGGTACTTAAAAAAACGTACGATCTGCCTATCTTGGACAGGCAGATCGTACTTGCGATGATCGCAAGCCGCGCCCCCCTGAGGGGCAGGCTTACGATGACCGCAATGCCGAACGGGCAGTGTGCGCTTGCGCACACCGGCCCGTCCGGCTTTTATCGTGCAAACATGCTACACACCCGCCGAACATCGTACGATGCTCGGCGGGTTTTCGAACATGTTCGTAAGATAAAAGTCGTGCGACCTTACAGTAGTAGAGGTCGCACGGCTTCCACACACCTTACGATAATCGTACGATCGCGGGATTTCCCGCAATTATCGTACGATTATCGCAAGGTGTGTGGGGACCT